CTTCCATCAGTGCTGTTGTCAGAGTCCCGGTTCCAGTCCCGAGGAGTGTATGCTCAGATTTCACAGAGATTTTGTAACAAACCTCAGTAGTTTCCTAGACTGAACCTTCAGGCACTGTCTGCAGAGACAAACTTTACAAACAATGCTGCCAGGTAGAGGCGAAACCAACTACAAGCTCCCAGAACATATACAGAGTGTTTTATATGTTCTGTGTCACATACAGAGCAGCAGGGCAGGTGATGACAAAGTAAGAGAGACACAGTCAAAAAGAATGTAAGAGATCTGCAGAGGGGACTTAATGCAAAAGCGTTGATTACAGGAGATTAACATAACGATCACTGAGGCACGGACTTGCAAATGAGGATGATAGAAAACTAGCCGGCAGCCTTATCAGCTGTTGTTGCTGTTAGGGGAATAGTTGCGGGGTTAGTATTTTATTTTTGTCTTACTGTTAAACCGTTTATTTTTGTCTTACTGTTAAACCATCTCAAGACGACGATAAGGAAGTTTTAAACGAACACGCTTTCCTTGAGAGCTCCCCTTGGGCAAATGCAGCAGCCGCTCTCAGGTGAGCTGAGAGTTCCTCAGACAAACAGCTCAGCGACGCCTGGGTCGGGATCCTGGTACTTTCTGAGAAAGCGGCGCAGGGATGCTGCAGGTTTGCTTTTATAACCCAAAGGCACATATAAGCAACCTTTTTCTATCAGGATTTATCTAAATTTTCCCAATACTGACAAGCCAGGGTGGCTTCCATGTGCAAATGAGTATTGTAGAAGTCCATTGCAAGAGAAGCAAGCAGAGCTAGAACAACAGCCAGTAATGAAATGCAGCTTCAAGAGAAGGCGATGCCCCTCTCCCTTCCAAACTGGAATGAGCAGCCCGTGCCCACCATGTGCTTCTTCCTGCTTCAGGGCGGACAGTGTGGGAAGACGCCCGTCTGCCCCCTGCCCTGCCACCATCGCTCGGATTAATGATCCCCGGCCGGCCCCTCCGCATCAGCACGCTCACTAAACTCTCCTGAGCACCTGAAACTGTCGGATTCTTGCGACTGTGCAGCTTATTGCAGGACCACCGGCCTTGGTGCTTCAGCTCCTCTTCCGACCCAGCGATCGCTCCCCTGGTCCTTGAAGACTCTCTTGCAGGAAGCGCGACCCGGATCCTTCTCTCCAGCCGCCTTCATCATGTTAGGCCTGAATCCCCAGGTTCCAGATTAACATAACAACTGGCATTAGAATATCTATCAGCTGTTTCAGGGCATTCATAATAGGCATGGCTCCCCTAGGCTCTAGCTCAATCGAAATGTCTAGCAGCTGTCTCAGAGAATTCCCTCAGAAAATGGAAAAAGCTTACCAAAGACATAATGGGCAAAGATTACCTAAAAGGTGTAAATTAAAAGATAAAACTTACTGCTAACCAAATCTGCTTCTGTATATCACTTGCTCAACTGCTGCTTATGTGATTCTGTAACTCCCCATTGTCGCCATTGTTCTCACTCTTGTCAAAGACTGATTGTATTGTTCCCCATTTTGCCGAAAGCTGATTGTAAAAGTATAAAAATCTCATTCCAACTATGTTCAGGGCCGCATTCTTACTAGAATGTTGGTCCCTGCAGGTAATCCTGCAGGTAATAAACTCCTCTTTAAATTTACCAACTGGTCTCTGGTCTCATCTGCAAAACCACGAGATACAACACATCAGACCAGCTAGAAACAATTCTGGGGGAGCAGAACCCCATGGCATTCAACCTCAGGTACTACCTCTGGAATTTCTTTCTTAGATGTTGATCCACCTTTAAAAAAAGAACTTAAAGCGGCTGACTCACATCATTTTCCTCCTCCTTTCAATCTTACTGTCACAACCCTGTGAGGTAGGTTGTTCCCACCGGCCTCATTTCCCTACTGCTGCAGCCTGGGCTCTGAACAGCATCCTCAGACCACTGGATTCGGTTTCTTAGGGCTGCGAGTGGCAAAGCACATCCCTGGCTTAACAGGATCAAAGCGCACTGTTGCAGAGGCTCCTTAAGCAGGAAATTCAGTTCGTTTTCTACTCAGAGAGCAGCCCTCTCACTACTGGGCAACATCCAAGCAGCTGTGAGAGATTTCGGGCTCCCGGTCTGACCAGAGCGGTGTGGCACCCACAATCCTGTCCCCCTGCCCCGTGCAGCCACTGCAGAAAGACCCACACCGGCTCCCCGGCCAAGGGCAGGAGGGAACTTCGGAGGGGCAATTTCAGCAAACAGGCCAACTCCAGCCCCAGCCTCCCCCTCCAAAACATCCTACCCGGAAAGGCAAAAGAAAGAAGAAGCCAGTCCAGCAAAAATGCGGGGGGGGGGGGGAGCTTTCGTCTCCATTCCTCCCCGCTGCATGGGAAACTCAAAGCCCCCACATTCAGGAGTCAGCAAGCATCAAGGAGTGAGGTCTGCAGCCTTAATGATGCCCACCTGTTAGACAACACCTGCTAACAAGGTTTCCCATGGGAATCATATAGCACTGTTCCAAAGCAATCACAGGCAGATTTGGCCTTACAGTTCTAAAAAGGTTTTCTGGAAATTATGGATCCCTGCATTTTTTACTCTAAGATTGTGTATTTATTAAATGTGATTAGCATTCAGAGAGCTATTGAGTTGACAGTGTAACCACTGCACTTAAGCAAAAATGAGATGCAGCGGACATTCCAAGGTATATTTCGCAAGAGATGAACTATTCCTGCTTGCACTGCGTACCACCCTTCTCTGCAGGAAGCGCTTGGCCCACTTCTTTATTGAGGCAGCTCCTTCTGTTGCCTTCTTTGCAAGAGGAAGGGTGCACCCCTTACATGGGAATGTTTCCCCCTGGGTTTGTCTTCCTTTGCCTTTAGGTTCCATGATCCAGCCCTAAGTTGGTACCGTCCAGTGCAGGGGGTCGGACACCTGAAACACTCAAAGAGCCATTTGGACCCATTTCCCACAGAACAGAAAACACCGGGAGCCACAAAACCCTTTTGACATCTAAAATGAAGATAGCACTGCATATATCATTTTTTTACCTCTGTGCCATGTATGAAAAAGCTGTAGTGTGTTGCATTTATGAAATCAATGATTCTTTCATATAATCTCCATCCGTGAACGGCTTCCCGTCCTATTTCCTGAGCGGCCACAGAACTAGCAGATGCAGACTTTGCAGACTTAATCCACTTCTTGAAATGATTTTTGCTCAGATCAACCTTCTGCATCAGTTCCGAAATGGCTTCTCTCTCATCTCCATCCAGATATTTTTCAGCAAAGGCTGTGTGTTTATTCTGGAAATGTCTTGCAACATTCAACTTTTTGTTGTTTGCCAATTTCTCACCACATATTAAGCATACTGGTAAACCAATCTCGTCAGCAGTGAAAGCGAATGAATCCGCCCACGTACCATTAAAGGTTCTGTTTTCTTCTGAAACTTTTTTCTTGGATTTATCCATGGTTGGCCTACCGGAGTCAAAAAGTTCAATAAATTGTGTGCCGACAGGTGTCGCACATTTTTGGTTGTGACGCATATTTTGAGCTACAGGGAGCCGCAGCCGAGAGATGAGAGAGCCACATGCAGCTCCGGAGCCACGGGTTGCTGACCCCCGTCTAGTGGAATTGCAGTAATATGACATTTTCATTCCAGGTTGTTCTGCATTTGAACATTAGTTGACATTCCTTGCTCTAAAGCCAGGGCTTTTTTTGTCATAGAACACACTGGAACGGCATTCCGGCACCCATTTTTCCAATGGATTTTACGCAGTGCTTTTTGTTAAAAAAAAAAAAAAAAAATCCCGAAACCCCACCCTGGGGGCACACTTTTACACCAAAAAAAATTTTTAGAATAAAACCAGTCACCCTACCCACACAAAAAAAAAATGGTCCCCCCCCCCCCCCAGCACTCACTATCAGCAAGGACACAAAAGCAGCCCCAGGCACTATGTTAATGATGTTTACTGCTGATCTGCTACGCCTGACAGGCGATTCAAAATCACTTCGTAAAATTCATTGGGAAAAAAGGTGCTGGAACGCCTTCCAGTGCATTCAATGACAAAAAAGCCCCGATTTTACGAAGTGATTTTGAACGTGGAGCAGATCAGCAGCAAACATCATTAACATAGCAGACACAAAAGCACCCAGCAGGCACTCTCTGCTATCTGGCAGTGTGACAGTGAGGGCGCTGCTCCGCTGCTCGGCTTGGGATTGGTGTGTTTGGTCGCGCGCGGAGTGCTTACTGCCGGAAGCAACGTGAGTTCCGGCACCTTTTCTTTTTCTTTTTCTTACAAAAAAAGCACTGCCTGAAACAAAGCTGGAAAATGGCGGGAAAGCAGGAGAGGGCCCTGGAGAATGGCAACGCTGAAGCTTCCACATTATGAGTGCACATGTGGAGAACTGGGGAAGCAAAACAGACGGAAGAAAAAAATGTCCAAAGATTTCTGGGGGGCACTTTCATTGGGGTGGGAAAATTGCATTTTTAGAAGTCAGAAACTGTACAGGGTTGGAGGCTTTTTTCAACTCCCCTCAAAAAAGATACGTAGATAAGAGGGCTCAAGCAACGTGCAGGTTTGTCGCTTGTCACCCATTTCAAGGACCTGGCAAACAGAGGGAGATGACGGAACAGGCACCTGGTTCTGACAGTGTTGGCTTGTGGATTTTGAGGGCCCTTGGGGAAGACCCCCCAACCGCCCCCTCCCTCAGGGGCCCCCTTCTTCCCACCAGGGCCCCGATCCGCGTGCTCCTCCCGCTCCGCGCCTCCACCCTCCTCTGGGTTGGGGCAAAAGGCCGGTTAGCAAACGGGCTGCGCTGCTGAGCGGAGGAAAGCGTTTGGGGGCCTTCCCGGGGGGCCCGCTGAGGCACGGGCACCCAGCGGGGCCCAGGTGTGCCTACCGGGCGCCAGTCCTGGCCCCCACGGGAGACCCTGGCCGGCGCCGGCCGCGAGACAAGCCGCGCCTCCCTCGCTCCCGCCGGCCCCCCCCCCCCCAAGACACAGCCAGGCGCACGTGTCGCTGACGCTTTATTCCGCTCGGTCCGCGCTGGCGCTGCGCCCGCCGCGATCCTGCTCGGCAGCCGGCGGCCCCCGCGGCGCGGGGCGGGCCGCCTCCCTGGAGCGCAGGCAGCGCCTCCTCCGGTAGCCGCTGCAGAGGCAGAAGCCCAAGGACAGTGTGGCCACAGCTGCCCCCTCCAGGACCAGGGCGCCCACCGCCGGCGGCATCCCGGGCCGCTGCCCACCTGCCGGGAAAGGGGAGAGTTCGGCTGCGGGGCGCTGGGGCGGCCGCGAAGACCAGCCCCGGCTGCACCGCCTGCAAGCGGGAGGCGCCGGCGGGGCCCCCGCAGAGCTGAGCGCGGAGGGGCGACGGAGCCGTCCCCTCCGGGGCAAGGCCAGCCCGGCTGGGCGGCTTCCCGCCTGCCCTGCCCTCCTGCTGCTGCTCCCAAGCCACAGGCAGGGGCTGCAGCGCCCGCGGCTCCCCCCGCCCCGTGCCCTGTAGCCCACGCACTGCCTCCTCCCTCCCCCCACAACCGCGGAACAAGCAATGATGCGAGCTGCTGCTGCTCTCTCTCTCTTGCACCCGCCTGCAAGCCCAGGCCCAGCTTGAGAGGTGCCCGTAGCTCCCCCGCAGCAACCTGCCCGCCTGGCCTCCGCGCCTCCGGAGCCGAACGTGCGCTGACGGCATTTGCTCCGTACAACGCAGCTCGGCAGACCATCCAGCGCGGCATCCATCCTCCCCCCCAAGTGCTTCAGATCTGACGGGACGTACAGAGTCTGAAGAACATCCGTGGTGCACGGGACACAAGGTTTTCCCTTCGCGTGGGCCTTGGCGAGGAGCCCTGGGGTGGGGGGAACGGGGGGGGGGCTTCAGCCCATGAGCCACTTGAAGGTCACGCCCATGGCCTGACTCCGTTGTGAATCTGAGGACTTCAAACCCCGCTCCCCATCTTGGTGCCTTCCAGAGGTGCTGGTCTACAACTCCCACAATCCCCCAAGGCAGCATCGTGGGTGGAATCTGGGAGCTGGAGGCCAAAACATCTGGAGAGCATTAGATTGGCAAAGGCAGATGAAAAGGATTCCTCCCCCAAACATTTAGGAACCAAAGTACACACTAATGAGTCTTTTTATCTCAGGCACAGTTATTAACATGCAAAGTACATCAGGAGCTGGGGGCTCATTTCACAAGTGAGATCAAAGCAGGTGCGGAGGTAAATCATTTGGGCAGGGAAACCCCTCTTCTGAAGCCAGTATTTAAACAATACTTATGTTCACAGATCATGCAAACAGGCCCCATTTTGCAGTTCTAACAACCAACTCAAGGAAAAGCTTCTTTTTCAGGGAAGTTTCCAAGACATGTGTGTACAGTAAAAATGCACAAAAAGTCATTACTTTTCTAGGATGCTCATATTGTCGTGCTTTACTCTGTGGAGGCAGTACACACTGAGCGGCATTTTTTTAAAAATGTGCATTTCCCTATTTCCTGTTCTTAATCAAATAATGAAAATGCAGCACAGTCCAGGATAAGAAAGCAGATGACCTCTCCCCACCCCACCCCACCCACCTGCTCAGATGCTGTTACTTGTCGGCATCTGCCCAGCAGATGCAATTTGCCTGTTAAAACCTGCTTCTGGATGCAAAGACTTACTGGTGTACCTTGGCCTTACAAACCTTACCTTTATGACTCTTGACAGCAAAGTTGCTGTTTGAATCCCACGCGGACTGGCCTCCATTTCTAGTGGACTTCCGAATTGTCAAGCGACCAATGACCACACTGGATTGCAGTGGACTGACTCCCACCGGAGAACCTGAAACAGTGAGAAGCTCTTTTTTCCTTCAGGTTTAGAAAGGGAGAGGGCCAGCCTCCCTCCATCACACTGCAGTCCCATCAGACAGACACTGGGGCTTAAAGAGAGGTTTATTGCTCTACGGCGTTTTGCGAAACAAGCAGGGCATTTGCCATCCACTTTGAGACTTTCATTTTATGAAATGAGTGTTTTCAGGTCTCCTTCACTGAAGAGAAACGTTCTAGGGAGGGACTGCAGCTCAATGATCGAAATTCAGCACCGGGCAGCTGCAGTCTGGAAAACCACGGCAGTCGTAACCCTCGGCAAGCTGGCCCCGGCCCGCTAGAAGGCCGTTCCAGAGACCATCCTGGGGCCTTTACTGGACCATTTCTAGTTCAGAAGCAGAATCAAGCAGCCCCATCCCCTCTTACAGAAGAATCTGGCTTCCCTGGTAACCAGGAACTTGGCGCAAAAAAGACTCAGCACGTCGGGAAAGACCCGCTGAGTTCCTGCCTTACAGCTTTGTGACCACATCAAGGAGATCGCTACCTCCGCTGTCGCGCTTATGCCGAGATCCGGCAGCCTGGCACACGGAATCACAGCAGCTGCACACAGAACTGGTGGGATCGTCCAGATGCTCCCATCTGAAAAAGAGCAGAAGGACCCCAGCTTGGAAATCCAGGTGGGCCACGTGGCATCCATGGGCAGTTCAGGAATCGTTCACCAGCTGCTGCAGGGAAAGGGGCTGGGCGGGCTCCCGGTCTTTCTGGGCGCATCTGGGGTGCTGAGAATCATGGGTGCTCTCACAAAATGGCTGCCATGGCAGGAGGTTGCCTATTCAGAAGAGGGCTTCCTCTGGCGGCTGCAGCCATTTTGCTGAAGACAAAGTGAAGCTAAAAGAGAAGTGGGTCAAAGGAGGCAGAGAGTGGGTCGAAATGCCCCAGCACAAACCCCACTTTCTGCACCCACAGTGCTCTGCTCCAGCACCTGCTTCACAGACAACAAGATGGCAAGTCTCAAAGACAAAACCAGCCCCGAGCGGAGGTTGAACGTGTCTCCAATCGTTGCGTCATGGATCATGCTGGCAAAAGTGAACTCCATTCCCTTCAGGACATGGTTGTCGTGGAAACCTTAAGCAGCAGTGTTCAAAACTTAAGCAAGGAAGGGCAGGGAGACCATGCTGCACCCCAAAGGATCTTCCCTGCGAGGCCCCTTTCTTCTCCCTGCCTCAGTCGGCACCATCTTCACTCCCATGGAGCACAAGGCCTTTCTTTCCACACACAGCTTGGTGTGGGCTCCAGCACCAGTGCCACAGCCCTGGGGAGCAGTGCAGGGCCCGGAACACCACCCAGACCTCGGGGGGTTCAGCCTGACTCCCTTTCGGAGCAGCTTGGGGACCGCATTCCAGTGGAAACAGGGCCAAAGACAGAAGGGGAGTAGCCAAAATGTCATTTCCAGTCTAATGCTCCTATTTATTTGTATCCTGCCTTTTTTCCTTCCAAGGAATGCAAGCCCGCTCACATCCCCCTCCTCTTCCTGCCATCCTTGCAACAACAGCCCTGTGAGGTAGGCTGGGCTGAGAGGCTGTGTCTGGCCCAAAGCCAAGTGGGGACGAGCGTCCAGTTCTGCTGAGTGCCAGCCCCACCCTCTTAACCGCTGCACGCCAGGCCTTTAGGACAGAGAAGCCCTCCAGAAGCCTTGGGCAGTTGTGTTATCCGCAGCTGCCTGCAGCTCCAGCCTTTCAACCAGCAGCCCCTTCCTCCGAGGACGAGCCTAGATCCTGGAGGGGCCTCACATCCCGGGAATGGCCCCCGGGTGCTGGCCTGCTTACAAGGAGCTCCCGGCCCCTCCTACAAAAGAAGTGGTTTCCCACAATCCCTTACCTACTGACATCTCGGCGAAAGGAGCAGGCCTTCCTCGTGGGGTCAGAGAGGACTTTTGGATCCCAGACTAGGACTTGGCAGTGTAGGTAGATCTGGAAGAGCAAGATTGCGGCAAAGCTCAGCTAGCAATTCCCTCTGAAACCACAAAACCCAGCCCCACTGTTGATCGGGTCACTGTTTGGGGTGCACACCACGTAGGGACGTTGCATTTTCAGCTTGCCTAGTGACACTGGGTGCTTTCAGAGGGGTGTGGAGAGTCCAAAATGGCAGGCTTCACCTTTTCTTTCCTTGACTGATCCCTGAAGTCCACCCCCAGAGCAGGAGCAAAATGGGCTTTCTTCCCAGGTGTTCCTTTTGTCCATCTTAAATGAGTTGAGCAGCACTTTAGCTGCTGCTCTCATTAGAATCTGGGCTGTCCGAAGCCTTGGCTGTTCTGCACTGACCTCCCTTCTCCCCAGCCCTCCTCTGTGCTGTGGGCATTTCAGAACATTGGCTAGTCCCACAGTGGCCATCCAGCTGCCTGCAGGAACCCACAGGCAGGACAGGAGTGCAACAGCTCCCCTGCCCATGTTCCCCAGCAACCGGCACACAAGGACAGAGTGCTTCTGATCCTGGAGACGGCTGGGAGCCATCAGGACTGTAGCCATGGATAGCCTTCTCCTCCGGGAATTTGTCCAAGTCCCTTTCAAAGTCATCCTGACTGGGGGCCGAAGCGACATCCTCGACCCTTCCCTTGCAGAGCAAGACTAGAACTCCTGTGGGTTGCAGCCTCCATCTCTATGCCACATGGCCCTTTATTCTTTGGAAGACTGCCCAAATATGCCAGAAGGACCCTCAGATCCAGGCACAACAGCCTAAATGGCCTCGGGTAAAAAATCTCTGCTATTCGATTCATTTTAGACCATCTGGTCACCAAAGTTCTTTGGGCAGCACACATGCAGATTAAAACCATAAAGTGTAAAGTCACAATGAAATATGAAGATAACACAGAATAATGCAAATTAAGATCAGCTGCATGTAATATCTTAAGCAGCAGAAAATAAAACTGTGCCGTGATCTAAGCACACTGAAACATTTCTTTAAAAGCTAGAGAGCATGAGAAGATCTTTACAGGACATCGGAAAGGCCGTCACAGGCATGCCAGGTGATTCTCTATGGTGTGGGCATCACACACACAGGTGCCACTGCCAAAAGAGCCCTCTCGCAGCCAACCACCTTGCCTCATGGGCAGGGCACCCCGAGAAGACCGGGCACGTATGGGGAAGACCTTCGGGTAACCTGACTCCAAGCTGTTGGCTTTGAACTGGGCCTGGAAACAGACCGGGCGCTTCTGCAGGTGGCAAAGTTCAGGCATGGCGTGAGCTTCTGGCCAGACCTGAGTAACCATCCAGCCGCCTTGCTTGGGCTGGGCAACTCGCAGCCTTCCACAGTTCTGCCTTACTACAGCTGCCACCAGCACTAGCCAGCAGAGCCAGTGGTGGGGCATGATGGGAGTTGTAGGCCAAAAATCTGACAGATCAATGCATGCAAGCATGGCCGTGTACTTTGTAAGGGCACGGGAGGCACCGCAGCAAGTTCCTCGCTCTCCAGACCCCAAAATGATGCGCTAGGGGAATGGCAGCTCCCTGCGGAAGGGTCTCCGCATCAGAAAGCTGGTCAAATCCAGCCCTTCAGGCAGCAATACCCGCATGCAGGACCAGGAATGACGCTTGGAACCCTGCTAGTGCAGCTACTTACATCTGTGTCAACCCCCACAAATTCAAAGGCCTGCAGAGAGAGATGGATCACTTCAGGAGTCCTTCTTGGGAGGAACCAGGTATTGGCCACCTTGCCGTCCACAACGCACCTGCCCCAAGCCCAAGAGACAAAGCACATCAGAGCCAAAGAACAGGCGTGTCTGCAGGAGGGTCGTTAGAAACACACAAGCATGTAGACGGTTCCCAGCCGCTCCGTGCAGACAGAGAAGCGCCAACCCCGGCGGCATGGGCACCTTAGAAACGGCTCCCAGCCCTTGATTCTGAAAGAAGTCGAGGGAGCGGCACATGGACACGCTGTCCCTTGTACCCGGGCGAATGGCGGGACTGAGCCTGCATGGCGCTCTCACCCGTGGTTTGCAACAATGCTGTAGTTCTGGGGCGATTTGCTCAGCTCTGGCGTGGCGGCCGCTGTGCACTCATCCACAAAAACCCGCAGAGGCTGGTGGAAGAAACTCTGCACCGCGAACTTGATGTGGATCTGGGAGCCCAGGGGAAAGGCCTTGGTGTGGGATGGAGCGCTGAAATCCTCTGCAAAGAGACGAGGGGCTGCCCGTGAGCCGGGATGCTCACAGCATGCAGGGACTCTCCAAGACAGCCGTTCTTCTCGGGCTTGTCCCCTCCCGGAACACATGCAAGGGACCGACGCTTCCGACTGGCATTGCCAAATGTTTCATATTTGGATTCCCTTTATGCTTTGGGGAAAGGACCTGAAGGTTGCCTCCTCCTGATCGCACACAGTTTCCTGAAGGTCATCAGTGGAGGAATGAGGAAATGCCAGTGGAAGAATTGATTTTAAGGAAGGTACTGGACTGTGCAAAAATGGACAGATTGACTTTATCTCTTAAGGAAAGAGAAGAAACATATTACCAAATGTGGGACTTTTTCTATCAATGGCTAGAGAAGCAGGATTACACTTTGGGCTGAAATATATATTAACTGTAGAGAGAATAAGATAATAACCCAGTCTTTTGAATGATTATTTGTTTTATATGTAGACAATAATTTTAAAAATCTTTTAAAAAATCAGTGAAGACACTCCAGTTCCTCTATTCTATGCACTGCAGGGCAGTCTGGACATGTGCTAGTGACAGACAGTGCACCAGCTGGCATTTCTGAGTCCAAATGGAAGTGCTGCCTTTATCTCTTTGAAGCATTAAATAGTCTGGGCCCAGGTTACTTGCAGGATTGCCTGCTCCTCACCAGCCTCCCCCCAATCCGAGGTCATCAGAAGAAGCCCTTCTCATCTTGGGCAGTTAGACTGGTGAGGACAGGGCACAGGGCCTTCTCTGTGTTGGCCCCACCTATCTGGAATCAGCGTCAGGCCTCTTATTTGCAGGAAACAGCATTTTAATCCGCCCTGAGCTTTCAGGGATCAAGCAGAGGCAGCAAGCAATCTTTCACCCAGGAGGAGCTGCTCACCATTCATGAGTTGCACAGTGAACATCAGCAGGCTGGAAGCAGACAGGTGGCCGGTCACTGACACCTGCGTGGGAACGTGATCTGCCCTAGGAGGCAGGAAAGGATGCTTAGACTTGCAGGGCAAAAACTCAGCGACAGACATTCGCAGCAAAACACCTTGATATGAACCATGGTTCTCAACATCTGTGGGAGGGGGACCCCAATCCCCACTTGGAATTTTGAGGGAGTGTTGTGGGTCCCCCCATAATATGGCTGGGGGCCACGAGGGCTTGTCCAGTCATAAAAATGGCTACTACACCAGTCATGGCTGGGTTCCAAGCACTCAGTTCGCAGAAGGCAAGCGTGTGAAATCGAAAGAAGTAACTCGTCCAAGAACTAATAGACAAAACTGAAGATAAACAAAGAGGGTCTCAGAGGGGGGCACTTTCTTTGCAGCGTGGCGCCTGCTAGCTATTTTTAAAGGGTATTTTCTTACATAAGCGATCTTAAGAGAGTAATTTGGAAAGGAAGGGCCCCGGGGAGGCACCAAAATGGGAGTCTGCCGGCACTCTGGTGCCCAGCTTGGGGACTTGAGGCAAGACCCCTGAGAACAAGGAGCTCCCCCACATTTTGTCCAGAAGTATCTCATTTTGGCAAATTGAGAGAGATGTGTAAAGGCGCGAATTAAGTGCTGGGGCAATCCCTGTGAGCCCACTCAGAAGCAAGCCCTGCCACGCGCAACAGGATTCACTCCCAAGTGAGCGTGTCCGTGCTTCCAGCCTTGGTCATCATGCGATGGGGAAGAAGCCCATTCCATTTGCACTTGAATGTGAGCTTGCCCATATTACTCCTTTGGACCGATTTGTCAAGAAGAATTCCGTTATCTTTTGAAATTCACCTTTCTCCAAATGGTGCAACGGGGTTCCCCAATCAAAAAGTGCACACACGCAATTTTCCTTGATACACACCCTCACACACACAGCATCTGAAAGTGTGTGTGTGTGTGTGGCAAAATTCCAAACAGAAATGTTTAAATAAAGCAAAATGGGCATGAAAATGCCCACACTTAAAAAAAAATCCTCAGAAGAACCTCAGAAAAATGAGAAATGGAGACGCAAAAATGGACAGATTTGGGCATCTTTCCTGGACCCTTCATGCAGGTCAGGTGCTTTTTGCTTTGAGAAGCAGCATCTGAACATCCATCGCAGGAAGCCTTAAGGTCCCTTCAAGGTGCAATCCTGTGCGTGTTCAGGCAGAAAAATGCTCTGGGAGTTGTGGGCCTTTTCTCTGCCAAAAGAGAAAACAGGCGGCGCCTTAAGAACATCGCTTTCGGCTTCAAATTTCTCAAAGGCAGACTTATTTTGGAGATATTCTGGAGGGCACCAAGCCACAGAAAGATGCTCCAGGACGAGAGCTCCTGGCCTGCCCTTAACCAGCTCACTGGACTCGTCCCATTTTAGGTCACATTTTTAACCTGAGCAGCTAATCATTTCAGACTCCATTAAAAGGAAGTCCTTTTTCTGTATTGGTTTTGCTTAAGGATTCCAGTTCCTTGTCTTGATCTGTAAGCTGCTCGGAATATCGACTGCTAGGTAGACAAATTTAGTAGATCAGATGAAAGGTTACAGCACCTGATCAGGATGAGCTCATCTTGCTATGAAAAAGGCATGCTCTGGATCAGAGCACTTCTGCATCTGTCCCACCCCGACACATCTGGCTTCAACCCTCCCCAGCAACAGCCTTCCCAGTGCTTACCTGACATCTGTACAGTTGATCCGCTCGGCAAAAGGGCGGCTGTGGACTCTGCCTTGGGCGGATGGTGGGGCATAGATCAGGTGGGCAGAGTGCTCGACCCTCCTGCCCGACGCCTGTTGGAATCAGACCCGGAGGTTCACCTCAAGATGCCCATGTTAAGTCTAAGGACCCATGTCCCCACCAAAACAGCTGCACTGCTCAAGGGCCTCCTAGGCTCGCTTCCCTCTGTACCACCAAGCTAGTCCTCAGACCAACCTTCTTTGATCTAGCAGTCTCCCAGTGAATGCAACTACACGTACAGCTTCCATCATCCCTAGCCAGCATGGCTGGGGGTGATGGAAACTGGAGGAATACACAACTGGAGGGAGCAAACTGGAAAAGACTGTTCTAGGAGAAGCACCGAGAGGCTGGCCCATTCCGTGCTGTTCATGCTGCTCCTTGCTCTTGCGCATCCTCCAAAATGCTCCTCTGTTTGGCTTGCTGCTGCAGGTCAAACAAGGGAGCCCAAGTTAACTCAGTCAGCCGGCGGTTTGCCCAGGTTTCTGGGGTGTGCTCCCATGCCTCTTGCCTGGACCAGAAACCAAACCCTTGCGTCATCTTCCTCCGGGAGAACAAGGGTAGGCATAGAGCCAGAAGGGGCCTCCCGGGCCATCTAGTCTGACCCTCCAGCTGGCTCCGCTCAGGATATGCCCACCATGCGCATGCCCAGTCTGTCCTTGAGCACCCCCACTGATGGGGCCCCCACCACCTCCTGTGGAAGCCCAGTCCATACCCTCGGGGTCCTAGCCATCAGGAAGTACTTCCTGGCACCAAAATGGAACCTTGGGGCATGGTTGGACCCCACTCCCAGGGCCCTCATCCCAACAGGGGCCCTGGGGCAAAAGCCCCCAGGCTTGCTCCTCCTCCTCTTCACTGGCCTTGCACTCTGGCTGAGATAACAGCAGTGGTGAGGAGGAAGCGCAGGAGATGCCTGGCTCCCTTGCTCCCTGGGTCTCTGCTGCAAGCAAGCAAGAAGCAGCGATGGCGAGGAGGAGGAGGAGGGCGGCGGTGGCTACCATGGCCGTGAGAAGGCGGACTCATGAGGGCGGCCCCATGGAGGGTGTCTTGCTCAGAAGTCCTCACAGCCCCGGAGCCAGCATGCAGCGTCTCCTGGGGCACTGCAGGCTGCTCTGAATGGCACCCCAGAACTCTCTAAGTGCCTTGTAAAAGCTACTTTGTACTCCTCTACAACTGCAGCAGCTTCTCATAGACTCGTCGGGCAGCAGAAGCAGACAATCTGGAGCTGCCCAGATGTGCCAGGCAATTCCTGCACAGTGGCCCTGCTGGCTGGTGCTGATGGGAATGATGGCCCAGAACATCTGGAGGGCAGGCTGCCTCTCTACTCAGGGCTGGGTACCAAGTGCTCAGCCAGGAGCTGTGGGGTCTGTGGGGCCAGCCACAGCCAAGCCTTATGCTCAGACCACACCATGCCCCCCACACGGCAGGTTGAAGGTCTTCAGCTCCAGCCTGCCCTGCCACTGGCGCTCACCTGCACACTCACCAGCCGTGCAAAGCCACACTCCTTCAAGCGGTACTGGAAGTGGAAGAGGCCCTTGGCGTCGTTCTCAAAGGATGGGGAGCAGCTGCCCAGGAACAGGTACTGTGGGTCCAGCCTGACACCGGCCCCCCAGGGGTCCATCTTGACAACCAAGTGGATGCTGGTGCCATTGCAATCATAGTCCACCGAGGTGGCAGGTACTGAAGGAGAAAGAGGTGTCGAGGTGAATAGAAAGCTGAAGCAAAGCAACCTGATTTCAACCAGCATCAACCTTATTTCAAGGCAGTGGAAGAACAACTCCGAGGCCAGGGTTCAAGTCTCTCTTACTCAGCCCATGATATCTCTGGGTGACCTCAGGCCCATCATCCTCAGTCGAACCCATCCCAGAGTCACAGGGGGCTCAGTAAGATGAACAATGTGCAATGCAAGCATATGATTCACAGCAGAGAGGAGCAGAGCCCAGCCAGTTAATGAAAGAGAATTGCGGAGTTCAAGGTCACCTGGTCCAGCCCCTGCCAAAGCAGCCAGCTTGCTGCCAGGTTGTAGCCACTCAAGGTCTGCTCGCCAGGGAGCAGCCCATGCAGCCCGCTCGCTCTTAGCGGGCTGGGGAGGCACATTTGTTTCTTGGTTTGCTGGTGCAGTGGTAAGACAGTAACACGCCATAGCAAGAACGGGTCAGAGTCGGTCTTGCTTCAGACATGACAACAAAGTGTTATTGCATTTAACAATTGGGAGGCAAAAGCTTCCCAATTCAACCTCATGTCCAGAGAGGAGAAGCCATGGATAGGGGACAAAAGGAGCGGTTCTTGAACACAATGTACCTGGAGAGCGCCTGGTTGGGGAAAGCTGGTTTGGGGCTGTGTGTGAACACAGCCACTGTTGCACCTTACAGGCTGTTGTAAGTACTAGAGCCAGATAATGGCAGCCTGTTGAGCCTATTAGCTTTCCAGATTCACCAGGGAAGAGCAATCAAGGCAAGCTTCCCCACCCACAAATAACAGCCCTCCTTCCCACCTCTGTCATACACCTGACACGGCAGTTTTCCTCCATCAGAGAACTTGTGCCTTCCATTTCCCACATCTACAAAGGTCAAACCTGTTCAGACTTCCCTAATGTGTCCCCCACCATGTGTTGGACTACAACTCCCATAATGCTAGCCTTCTCCTACATTGGCTGGGCCTATGGGAGTTGGAGCCCAACACTTCTGGAGGGTGCCCCACTGGGGAAGGCTAAACTAGAGAATAGTAACACCTAGCACAGCTTTCTCTCCCTACACTTCCAGAGCTTCCATAGGTGAGGGGGGCACAGAGAAGGGGCACCCCACATCCTTTTCCATTGAGAAAAAAAGCCTCAATTTCAGCAGAAGCAGTCAGAACCCTGTAAAAAGCCCTATGCACTGAACTTTCTGCACAGCCCAACCCTGTACCCCCAGAAAATGTGCCAGTTACCCCTCTGAGCTGCAGCAGGAACCGTCAAACTGCAGGCCAAGACCGCAAAGAGCCCCCGGCACAGCCCGGTCATGGTGGTGCGCTTAGCTGGCCTGGAGGAGGAAGGAGCCCTCCTGGCCACTCCTGGGGGGCATCCTTTTATCCTCTACTGGCCCCGCCCACTCCTGGCCAGCTCCCCAACCAGCCCCTGATGCTGTTCCTTTAACCACAGCTTGTGTGCCGTCCTTGGCAGCTGATTGCATTATCTCCTTGCTCACTTGGGGATTTCCACAAAGCAAGCTGTTCTTAAAGGCCAGGAACAGCCGGATCCATCTTTTCTGCCCAGTGAGGAACTCTTAGCAGCAGCTACAGGAGTCTGGTGCTTGGTAGGCTTCGGCAGGTCCTCGGGCCGGTCATGTCCAATGGCCACCTCTCTCTGGGAGGCAACCTTTTCTGTGCCATGGCTTCTGGCTCCTCAAGCTCCTCTTCTCGTGGCCAGACGCTTGCTTGTTTGGCAGGCAGTGATCCAGCGAGAACCATTTCCACTGCTCCTGCTTGCCTCTTTGTGCTCCTGGCCAGAGCGAAGAGGAGGTGAGCAAGCGGGCTGTGATGCAGGACTGACCCTTGGCAGGTGCCCAGCCATGCTGACCCTGGATGCTGGTCCTGAGTTATGGGGTCTGTTTTTAGGGTGGCCAGAAGCAAAAGAGGATGGAGCGCCTGTGCCCTTAAGTTGTGCAGAAGCACTCCCCCCTCCCCTGTATTTAGCTTCCCTTTGGCTCAAAGGTGCACAAATACTTTTATAAACTATCAGCTTTAGAAGATTATTATAGCTATTATTGCTATGGATGATGATGTTGTTGTAGTTAATAATTCAAGTTTTGTACAATAGCTGAAGCTCTCTGGGAAATTTACAACAGCAGATAAACACAATAATATAAAATGCAGAATAACAATAACATTTTAAAAATACTGTAACATTTGAAAGCCACAAGTTCTTCCAATAAGGAAAACGTACCTTTAATAGTTGTCATGATGGATAAAGTTTGGGGTTTTGTTTTCTTGCTAACAGTTTATATCAGAGGTATTTTTAGTATAATAAATTGATATGTTGGACCCCTTTAGCTTTAATGCATATACTATGCTATTTTTTTTCCTGTTAGTCACCTCCAGAATATGCTGTATCATTGTGTAAGAAAATACATCTATATTGCACATCATCATGAATTATGATATTTCTTAATTATATCCTGAAGTGTGTAGTCTCCATTTGATTGTACCATTGCATGAACAGTGATGGCCTTTGGCTAAGAAATTAAGATTTTATTGTATGTTTAGGACTGCCACCTTTGCCATTTTTAGATCAGTCGTGGAAAAACTCCAGCCTGCCAAACTCATATCACAGGTGTTGGTTTCCTTTGCCTGAACCCTGAGGTCTTTTCCAGCTTGGAGCCGTGAGCAGCTGGGAAGAGGGATTGCGAAGGGAGTCTGTACATGGGCGAAGATGTTGTGTGTGAATTGGAGATGTGGAGGGCACATGCCAGGAGTAGCTCCACCAACCCGGTGGTGGCACATGGGCTCCAACATGCCAGCCCGGGGCATTTGGGCCCCTGGACCAGAAAGGGTTCCTAAGCCCAAGCCCAGTTTTATATGGACTTCTGCATCCTAATAGACATCTGAGGCTGCCTCATAATCCACGTATCCCACCCCTGGCTCTCCAAAGCGGAGGCCTTTCCCAGTGCTGCTAATATGCAGGGATGATCTGGGCATTGCACTGGGACTTGCTGATCAGCGTTCTCATCCCTTCCTGGCCATGATGCTCAGTGGGCGACTCTCAGCCCAACCTACCTCACAGGGTTGTTGTTGGGAGGATGAAATGGAGCAGAGGAGGACTGTGTTAGCAGCTTTGGGATCCTCACAGGATAGAAATGCCATGTACTACTTGAAGATGCAAAATCCTGAACTTGGGGCTGCGCATTCTGCAGCCCAGCGTGAGCTCTGCTCCACAGCCACATCATCTGCCCTAACGGGATTCAGGTGGTAGAGGGCATCAGGCATGGAGACGAAGTGGAGCCCTTGCAAGGGGTGAGGGAGAACTCAGCTTGCAGAATGATAGCCATCCTTTTTTTCTGTTAATGCAAACCTCTAAAGGGGCGCGCACACATGCACACACGCACTCACAAACAGCTCAGGGAGAACCAAACCTGTTCAGTAACCATGGAAAGTTGAGTATTAGTCAGTAAAGAAAACCAGCCAGAGAATTGCTCGGGCTCATCTCCAGCATCGCCGGGCAACTGCCCCAGCCCAGCCCCAGGGCTGGCACTTCCCTGGGAACCTCTCCTAGCGGAATGCTCTGGAAAGCCCAGGGCAGCTGTGTCGAGCTGCATTTCAGCTTCCCACAATTCCCAGTGTCACGAGGCGTTGCCACACTAGTGTGTTGCTCCAGCATGTTGTGAGATATTAACATGGCGGCTGCAGCCAGCTGCCCGGCACAGGACAGCTCCCAGATTGGCCCCGACGGAGGAGAGCAGGGCCACCAGAGCATCCTCTGACCAGAGGCAACCCCTTTTGGAGAGAACAGCTGACCAGAAGCCTGGGCAAGAGCGTGCCTGAGAGGGTGGGAGGATTCTTGCAAGGGTTTGTGGTCACCCTGCTTGGTTCTCTCTGGCTGGGTCCACAGATCACGACAAGCAGCGTGGCACGGTTACCACGATCTTTATCTCAGTGGTGGCGAGTCTCCTTCCTCCTCCACATCCTTCCCTTTCTGTCCCCAGGAGAGCCACCATGGGGAGGAATGAGGCTCCTCACTTTGACAGCCGCGGCGCTGAGCCCAATGTGGTTTGCTGTGGCTCAGTTGGGCAAAGAGGACTCGTGTGCTGAAGCACAGCAGAGAAGAGGAGGGAGCGGATCAGGCCCCCTTCTGCTTCCTGCTCCTCGCCGCCTCCACTCTTGCTGTCATGTGTGGGGGGGTGCCTGACGCAATCTCAGGCAAAAGGGGGGATGAGCTGGGTGGGGTGCAGAAAGGAACTGTGCCACTCAGCTGATGCGCCCTGGTGCCCCCGCTGCAGACATGCCCAAGAGAAGCACAGGAGAGGGGGGAGAACGGCTGGGCGGTGGTGCCCACTTGGGGGCAGCATGGCTCAGCTGATCCCCCTGCTGCCTCACTTCCTTGCTCCCACTTGCTGAAGAGGAACCCCAGCCCGGTGCCCACCAAACACCTTCCTCCCAGTGATAAGGGGGAGGCAGCACCCGATGCCTCTCCTTGCTCCCATGTGCAGGAGGCATCTCCAGCCTGGGGCTCCATCCACCTCCATGGAGTGTGCGCAGAACTGCCAAATGCCATGAAGTCTGGATCTGCCCCTCTCTTACTTGGCTGCTCTTAATTGCACCTCCAAGCTTCCAGGGATGCTCACCTTGCCTTCTTGTCTCCAAACTTTCAGTGTCCATAGCAAGCAGGGAAGGAGGGCTGGGAACAGCTGATCCTTCTCTGGATGGTGGCTGGGGCACTCTGCTCTCACCCTTGGTATGGGTCTCTTCCTGGGTTGGGCTGAGGGGCTGCACCCCCCCCTCCAGTGGGCCCTGTTGCTCTGGCTGGGAGCAGGCAGAAGTATCCTTTTCTTCACTTCTGAAGCCACTGCCCTTTCCCAGCTCTTTGGATAGGCCCATCCCACCCGCCACTCGCTTCCACTACCTCCAAGTGATTAAAAAAAAGAGGCTGAACTGGAAACGGCCAAAAGATTTTTGTATTAAAAACAGTCCAATATACATTATTTTACAAAATTATAGTGATTTTTATTTCTCATCTTTACAAATGGAGAACATTAAACATGCACACACGTGACAAAGCAGACAGAAATTATGACCCTTTACAATATTGCAGTGATCCCCAGTAAGGTATGGCGTAAGGGAGGAAGACCTGTTACCAGCACCTACTCTCCTCGGGTCCCCTTAGCATTAGTGCCACAAATATCTCTGACTTACCCACTTCTGTGCTGAGTCCATTCATAGGAACTGACCTTCCCCTCTCCTGGGTTTATGCCTTTTTCCAAAACGGGAGCTTCAAGGTCATCATTAGGGGCTCTTTCTGAACCTTGATGTCGCTTGTCTTCCATGAGCACAATGAATTGCAAATTTTCAAGGCCCCTCCCTCTCTTGGCTTTTTTGTTCCTTGGCTTCTGAAGAGGTTCCTGTTGACTCTCCTCTGAAGTGTCAACAGCTTGAAGGACTTGGCCACCAGTCCTCAGCTGTAAGTGGTAGGCCTAGAGCGTTCTATCTCCCCTGGCAACCCAAGTGAAGGAAAGATACTGGGGAGGGATGACAGATAATAGCCAGCAGCAGGAAAGGGGCTCACCTGCTCTAGCTCCTTTTAAAGAGAAGAATCCATTGCTCCAGGTGAGGAGAATACAGACTAAGGACTGGAGCATCTCCTTTTCTCTTTGGAAACTGGCCATGTGTCCCTTCCTACCCTGGTTAGTAGCCCAAGCAGTGAGGGCCATGTCTCATGTGCTCTTGTGGTGAGCTGGCTTTGAATCGCCAGAGCTCCTCAGCGTGGATTCTTGCATGTGCCATCCTGCTTGTCACGAGCAGACAGTCCTCACAGGCAGGGGAGCATATGCCTGCAGTCATCCGTCCCTGCTCTGGGACTCTGAGTTGAGTGAAGTTTGCAATTCTCTCTTCTCATGCAACTCCCTGCTGTTTTAGTGGCTACCTTTGCCCTCCTCTCACAAACAAAGCTTCCGCTAAGGAACTCTCCCAAGGCAGCGTGATCCTTTTATCACCACCCACTCCCCAAGGAACTCCTGGGTGGATCATAATCAGCCTGACATTCCTGCTCAGTAAGAAGCGGCAACTGAAAGAAACACGAAGACACACATGCCCTTCTCACTTAAGCCTTCTTGGTACACTAGTCCTCACCAGATCCCTCTGCTTGTGCCTGCATCCATCCTTTGAGGACAGCAACTCTGGGATCCTCAAACCAGTGAGGCCATTCAGAACAAACAACAGTTTGGAGAAAGAGACCAGCGACATTCTGCTGCGCATGGACCAGCTCACAAGGGTATTGGAAACAAAGGGTCAGTCGGATGATGACACAAGCACACACCTTGTGGCCACAGAATGCTAACCTGAGATCTTCCAGCCAAATTTCAACAGTGTCCACAGACCTGTGTTCTTTAGTAAAGGCCTTGGTCACATGAGGCTGGACTTGGAATACACAAAGAAGGACACCAAGTCTTTGGGGAGTCTGCATAGCATAGCTTGGGTTTCCTGAGCCATCAGTGGAGTGATGTGTTATCACTCCTGGAGTCGCTCACTGGGCTACACCTTTAGTCATATTGTCTGTCCATCTGCAAACAGTTCAAATGCAGAAGCTGCTTTAAAATATATACACAATGCCCCTTATTGCTAACTACTACATAAAAATCAGAAAGTTGCACTTCTATGAACTGTGGAAGCAGCAGGAGTGGATGAAGCCCCGTACACAGTTGCTGGTGGCAGCTGGTGCAGGCTCACCTGGCCAGTCTTGGCGGCATGCGTCATACAGGTCGGCTGCCCCAGGCCAGCTCCTGCGAGCACCAGAGTGTGATTAAGAGCAGGCCTGCTGAGGAGTGGCCCTGTCACTGGTCTTCCCCTCTGCAGGGGGCTCTGAGGCAGCCAAAGCTGGCACCTTCGCCTGCTGTGGCAGCTTTCCTGGAACTAAAGGAGAATGTCTTGCATTGACTCGGCACTCATATCCCGACGTAGCCTTTGTGGCACAGACTGTTCACAGGCTGCCGTGCTGCGCAGGGCAGTGCAAATGTCAGGGCCTTTTACTGCCTCTCACAGACTGTGACACAAAAGCAAAGCCGCACACAGACACTCCCTTCTCACCCACAAAGCAAAACATACCAACATGGATTTCACAACACAGACAACAACATAGCACCCTTTTCAGTGTTTGCGTAGGATCCTAACTTTCATTAAACTACTACACACATCTGCAGCTCATCTACTCATGCCGCTGTTTTGGTTTCCTGTGGACATATATGTACTATGAAGATTTAACAGTCCTATATTAACTACAGGTTGTGGCTTCTCCCCAGAGTATCCTGGAAACTAATCTGGGAGGGCATTGATAATTTTGTTGGAGGTCACTAGCTCTCATCATAGAACCAGAGTGCCTAGCATTCCTAGGGGAGGCGAAATGACTATTAAACTCATTTAAGTCAGTGCTCCACAGAAACCAACATGTATGCTTCATTCATTCACCAAGAAATGTGCTGCCCAGCCAGTAAGTCCTCATCTGGCACTTGGGTATGTGCTAATTCGCTTCTTTAGAAAGGAGCATCCATGAGTACACACAGCACAGAGATCAACATACAAACACATGTCTCAGCTGCTTCCCTTGCACTACTGAATCCATGAATTACAAAACAGGGTGGCAGTCACCTGTCACTGCTGTTATCCACAACAGTATGAAACAGAATTTGAGAAGGAAAGAACAGCAGTATCTTCCTTGATAGTTAGCAAAATACTGCAATTGGCAAAGGTGTCCCGGTGCTGCTGCCCATCTGTTCACTCCGCTTGCAGCTCAGGCGGCAGGGCTGGCTCAGTTATCTGGAACTGCACCACTGAGTGAAATCCTGTCAGGTTCAGTGCCTCAGCTTCCCTTCTGCCAAAGCACAGGCCAAAATGGCTGGCAGTAGATCCTTTCTGCACCAGCCAGAAGCCCTGGCCATTTTCCTCCCTTTTCACCTACAAAGGTTACCTACCGGTTCCTTTGAGCGCTCAGCCAGTTCCCACATTTGCTCATGGTACAACATGAGTCCTGTTCAACCGACTACCGTAAAGAAGAAGGGGCAGGGGGACCAAAACAAAAGCACCTGGTTGTTCTTTCGGACTGGAGGCGTGGTTGGCAGGAACAGGGAGGGTGGTCCTTCTACCACTTGAGGAACTCCCGCACCCGGCTCCATAGCTTGGTGATCCAGAGGTTGACCCCCAAATCTGTCAGGTACTGGATCTCAGGTGTCAACATCTTGCGGCAAAGCTTCCGGTGCTTCTTGTTTATCCTCTTTTTCAGGTTGTAGCCCAGGATAGACTTCTCACCAAGCGGCTGCCATGGTTGCATGGCGGACTCCTGGATGGCATTGGCGTCCACGGGATGGCCTCCGTCGATGCAGATGCTTTTCATCTTCTCGTTTTCTTCATTAAGCCTGGCTACATCCTTGGCCATCCTCTCTCTCCCATATGCTTCCACTCTGCGCCAGAAGGTGGTGTTGAAGTGCCGGTACAGTTTGGCATCAATCATGTTCCAGGCTGTGGCCTTCTGGTACAGCTGGTCTGTCAGCTTGGAAACAGTGGAGTCTTTCCGAGCATTGAGCTTGAAGTAGAGGATGTCCTCCAGCTCCCAGCACAGCAAGTCCTTAAGAAGCACCAAAGATTCGTCAAAGTATTCTAGCAGCATGACCAGATGGAAGCGTTCATCAATCTCACGGATGTGCTGGTCAACCAGGGGGCTGGTAGGGTTGAGGTTATTGTCATAGCCTAGGTCAAAGAAAAGGAGGTTCTGGAGGTAGTGAGCATTGAACCCATTGGGGTCATAGTAATGCCATGGGTCACGCAGGAATTCAGCCAGCTTGTCCTCACCAGACAACTTCCAAGTCAAGGGAATTGTACGCCCAAAGTAGTGGAAGGAGGACTCAAAGAGGTAGGCAGGGTCCCGCAGCACTGTCACAAAGATGGTGTCAGCTGGCAGAAGCTTGCGCACTTCCTCATAATGAAAGCGCATGTGGTTGCAAATGATGTTAAAGCACATGCCAGGCTGGTAGTCCTGCACCTGGCTTCGTTCAAAGAACGACGGATAGTAAAAGTCGTTGCGCCCATTGGGGAAGGCAAACTTCAGGCGGTGCTTCTCCCCGAAGCGGAAGAGGATGTTGAGGATGGTACTGCTCGCTGTCTTGTGGGTTTTCATGAACATAATGTCCAGCTTGGGGAGGCACTTCTGTCCCGGTGAACTGTGGCTAACATTGACAGAAGCTGGTGCCTGGGCCTGGGCAGGGTAGGAAGAGCACGAGTAGGGGATCGGGACCCTGGGAAAAGAAATGTGCATAATGAGGCTGTTTTGTGGGATGCATAAGCAACTTGCCTGTTAACTCTCGTGACTTCACTTGGCCCCCAGTCCCCACCTATTGTGCCAGAGACAGTAGGTGAATATGATTTGGGAGACAAATTATCTACAGGGCCACTTCACACACATAAACACATGGGCCAATCCAGATCCAGGGAAAAGACGCTGAAAAGGCAACTCAAACGATTCAAGTGCTGGAGCTTCTTCCTGATGAGAAAAGGGTTGGAAGGTTTTCAGTCGGGGATAAATATGTCTATGATACACAGAAAGCAGTTTTGCACTATCTCTCATAGTGATAGAACTTTGGGTCACTCAGTGAAAGAAACAGATGTCAGGACGAGCAAGAGGAAATCTTTCCTTATACTATATGTGATCCATGGAATTCACTGCCACAAAGTCATGGCCTAGATTAGATTGCTGGAAAGGGGGATCTGACACATTCATAAAGGGGTATGGAAGGTGTGTTGGTGGTTGTTAGTCACGAAAGCTATGCAGGACCCCTGCGTTACAGACAGGATGATCCTCAGCACCAGCTGCTGAGTCACGCTGGCTAGGGATTTGGGAGGCATCAGGTTGGGCAGGGCTGGTCTAGATAGCCCTTTGGTCTGATCTGGCAGGATTCTTTTTAAATGATAAGGACATGAGATAAGTTCTACAGAGATAAGTTCTACCCTTTCCTGCCATGGGATGCAAACTACAGAATTCCTTCCTTTGCATCTGCTTAGTCATCTTTCAAACTAACTTTTCCAGGCAAAACCTGTCCTGCTCTCTATTGCCTTTAATGGTATCACCGGTCCTTTTCATTTTGATCTGCTGAAGTGGGTTTTTTTTGGTGGCATTAAAAACAGGATTTAAATTTCATGAATTAAATAGGTAAAATAAAAAGTGCCCATGGAATAAGCAAAGGTTTTTATTCTGCTGTCATCTTGGGTCACACAGGTTTTTTGAAATTCAAAATGCTTTTGTACATTTTGAAGTGCAAAAACCTGCAAAGCTGTTTGAAACAGAATTGACGTGGGACAAATGCATGAGCCATAGGCAAAAAGCATCGTCTCAGACCCCCTTCAACCCTGTGAAAACTGCTGTCCATCTCTGCAGCACAGGCATTTATTTATTTATTTATTTATTTATTTTAAAAATTTGTATGCCGTCCATTACTGTTGTCTCTGGACTGCTTACAAAATTATTTCAAACTACAATAAACTAAGATAAATTAACTATTCCACACTGATCATAATTTAAAATAAATTAAATTACTACATGTTAAAATATTGGCCAAATAAAAAGGTCTTGACCTGGTACCGAAAAACAAATAATGATGGCGCCAGGCAGACCTTTCTAGGGAGCGCATTCCATAGTCAGGGCGCCACCACAGAGAAGGCCCTCCTCAGAGTACTCTGTCCCCTGACCTCTTTCAAAGAGGGTTCCCGGAGGAGGGCCTCTGCTGCTGATCTCAGAGGGTGGGAGGGCATGTAGGGAAAAAGGCGTTCCTTTAGGTATCCTGGTCCCAAGCCGTTTAGGTTTTTATAGGTCATAACCAGCACCTTGAACTGAGGGCAGGCATGCCCATACGCAAGGCTTAAAGAGCAGACAGCTGAACACTAGCAAAATGCCCTGCCCTCCACGGCAGGGCCATTCTCTCTTTGCCTCAGGGTGGCTCTCAGCTGCATGAGGGCTCCAAGATAATGCTTGCCTGAGCCATAATGGTAATTTCTATTACAAATGCCTCTCCTTCACTTTCAGTTCTGCACTGTCAAAGACCATGCATTACATTAACATAACAGAGAATACTAGCTGAAGCTTCCTATGCCAGAAGAGCCATGCACACCGTCTTGCACAGGATCATTCAGGAGTAAGTATCAGTAATGCTGGGAGATTCAAGTTCAAGTCCCCTTTGCCTGGAGAAGGGGAGACTCCGAGGGGACCTGTTGGCGACATGCAGGTATGTGAGGGGATGTCACATGGAGGTGGGGAGAGACCCGTTCTGCTCTGCAGAGGAAGGCAGGATGCGCTCCAACTGAGCAAAGCTCAGGGAGCCAAGGTTCTATTTAGATGCCAGGAAGCACGAGGGTGTGGAATGGGTTTCCACGGGAGGTGGTTGATCCCCATCGGTGAGGGTGTTCAAGGACAGGCTGGACGTCCACATGGTGGGCATGTCGTGAGCGGAGCCGGCTGAAGCCGGGGGTCAGACTAGATGGCCCGGGAGACCCCTTCGGACTCGCTCTGTTTCTATGTTTCTCTCAGCCACGAAGCTCACTGGGTGACCTTGGGCCAGACATGCACTCTCAGCCTCACCTACTTCACAGGATTGTTGTGAGGATAAAGCAGAGTAGAGGCGGAATATGTAAGTTTCTTTGGGTGAGGAGAAAATATGGGATCTGTAAAATGTGATGTAGTAATAATTATTGATCACATTTCTATCCCACCATCTTTTTCCTTTCAAGGAACTCCAGATGGTTCACCTAATTCTCCTCCTTCCAATCTCCTCAAAGTAACAACAACCTGTGAAGTCAGTTGGGCTGGCCCAAAGCCAGCCAGTGAGCTCCAGGGCCAAGCGGACAGAACCCGGACCTCCTGAGTCCCAGCCCTACACCCTTAACCACGCTGGCGCTCCATATACAGTAACAAGCCAGTCTGGGACCGCAGACTTAGGCCAAGGCAATAGCTCCCCTTTCCTATAGTACTGTGAAGAGGCAGTTACGCAGGTGGTGGGAGGGTGGACTGCACAAGGTGGGAGCTTGTAATGAAAGTGTTTAGCCTGCCTGCCCCCCCACCCACCGGTGTCAGTTAATATCAACAGCATTATTTCCGTATCACCCCATGGCCAAAGCTCTCTACTTGCAGAGAATTTTTAGAGAAGGGAGCACATAATAACAAGAGACGAGGCTGTTCCCATAATAACTCCATCTGAAGTGATTCAGCTCTTCTTTACCCTGCCATTCTGCTTCAGTCTCACCTGCTCCTGAGTCCCCTGCTGTGCCGGCTGCAGGCGCAAGGCGGCTTGGCTTCACCCTTGGGCCTTTGCACAAGGACTCCCCCACCCCACCCCCCTGCCCCACGGTGTCAGCTCACTCACTCTATCATGTTGACTTGCAAGGGCGGGATGGCGTAGGAGTACAGAAGCAGCATGCAGCTGGTCAGGAGAGTCCCCAGGATCAGCCCCTTGCACATGGACTTCCAGTTTTTCCCCTGGTGTATCATCCTAATCACCTGGAGAGAAAACAGAGGGAAAGGGGAGTCAATTCATGTGGCAGGTGCCTAGTAGAGACAGATAACAAATGTACTGAATTTCCTTTTGCCCCTACTCCCACACCATGCAGTCTGTCCGCACTGACTGACCACAGCTCTCTGGGCTTTCAGACCGGGCTTGTTCCCAGCCCAACAGAGAGTACTGAACTTGGAACTTCATTGCAAAGGGTTCGGGGAAGTATTGCTGCTGGAGATGTGCTCGCTCACCTCGCATTGCTGAGAGACTGCCATCTCGCCAAGCTCTCGTGGGATGCACAGGTATCTGCCTTTACAGTCCCGTGAGCCACCAGATTGCCAAGGAGGGTGGGGGGGAAGCCCAGGGGTGGTGGCATAAGCCTGCGCAGCAGAGTTCATAGCCAGCTTTCCTGCTTCGCCGCCAAGGCTTGCAGGCAGCAGTCCACTCCCACACAGCAGCTCTGGCCCTTGCTCTGGTCCTCCAGCTGAGTCATTTTTTCCCTATGATCACCCCAGAATGCAGCCCACCTACCCGGCCTCCTTCGAAGAGCCTCTTCTGGCGCACTCGTGGTTTCATTCTCACCCCCGCTTCCCTCCCAGGCCAAAGGGTACAATGCATTGCCACATTCCGCAAACAATTGCTGCCTCCCCCCACACACACTCTTTCTTTCCCCCACCCCCACAATCTGCTTAGCAACCCCCTTGCTAGCAAAGAAGAGACACTGAAAGGCTACAGCACCTGCCTACCGCCAGCAGGAGTCCGCAGGAATCAGAGCTCTGAGTTTTCCTCCAGGAGCTCAGCAGCTGGACCAAGCCAACGCCTGCTACTTTCTGAGGCTGAGCGCCGGGTGGATGTGAGCGACTGCATTGCACCAGCACTGTCCTCTGTGACAGGCCAAGGACACGGGCAGTGGCGGGAGAGGCAGGGCTGGGGATGGCCACAGCAGGCAGGCAGGCAGGCAGATGCCTGGGAAAGCACACGTGCGAGAGCTCTCCCTCCTGGCAACTGGGAGGCTCTCTTTGGGGCACTCCCGGTTTTGACCACTCCACTCGGTAAGACTAGAGGAAGAAATGTCAGCATACAGCACTTTCTGCCTCACTAACTCGAGCTCACAAACTACAAAAGAATCTCTTCTGGAACTAGTTCACAAGGAGTGTATACATAGAGATCTTTCCCAGCCTGGCTACCAAAGACCTCTCAAGCGTTATGCCAGGACGCTGGACTCTGATGCTGCAAATCTCATCCCTCGCTGAGCAATCAATAGACCTATTATTTCCTTTTAGCACTGTTTTATAAACAACATTTTTAAAACATTCATGTTTTAACAACAAAAAGAACCTGACATAAATATGGACAGTTAAACCTAAACTATTTAAAATGAATCAGATACGATCAGCAACAAAAACTTCAACAAAGACAACGAAAGTCGACATTATGCATGTAAATAAAGCTCAGAGCAGTGTTTACTCCTTTTGTAAGAGAGACAAGGTAAAGATGAAGCCTTTGCCATGTGTTCTCTTGGAAACTCCAGTAAGAATGTAGGAGAAAAGGCCTCTTTGTTGCTAATTTCACCTTTTCCAGCTGGAGAGTAGGAGCTTGCTAGAGACGCAGGCAAAATGTACCCACCAGCAAAGTCCTTCGGTCAAGGCAGCACAGGTCAGATTTCTGACATTTCTGCAGAAAGGAACTGACGTACACATGGATCCATAACGCTTTCTTTCTTTCTTATTTATTTATTTATTTATTTATCGATTTATACCCTGCCTTTTTCCTACAAAGGGCTCAAGGCAGCTTACATCATTCTCCTCCTCCATCTTATCCCCACAACAACAACCCTGTGAGGTAGGTTGGGCTGAGAGTCTGTGGCTGGCCCAAAGTCACCCTCTTGGCTCCATGGCTGAGTGGGGACTCGAACCCGGGTCGCCTGAGTCCCAGTCCCATGCTCTGAACCACTACACCACACTGGCTCTCTTGCCTGCATCCTAAAGAAATCAAGTGGGCAGAATCCCATGTCAAGCAAAACTTATGGGTATGAAAAACAACCCATCCAGCGGCACACCAGGGACTAGCCAATGCCTTGAGGAACTGGTTGCTTGCATGGCTGCCTGAGGAAATGCTTCTTGCCCACAAAACCAATGCCATCGCATGGTCATTCAGGTGCTGCGTTCAGGTGGCAAGCTGTTCTGGGGAAATGCGGTTAGGCTTAGTTTCCTCTGAGAGCACTGGAAACGTATGTTGTCTTCACAGCACTGGCTTCACTTGCAAATACAGCAGCAGAGCATAAGGCAGATGTGGCGGGAGCACCCCACCCACAGAGATCAGGCCGGGCAGCTCTCTGACCTAGTCTATCAACTTCTGCCCACTGCAAAGCCAAACAACCTGTTCTCACACACACACCCCTGCACAAAAAAAAGCCTTGCTTAGGAAAAAGTGCAATACATTCAATGGCACTAGCCCCAATACCAGATCCTTGGAGGAGCCAACGCTTACAGCCCATCACTGTGAGAACTGTTTGTTGACAAGTGTCTGTTGGCACCAGGGGCTTCCTAATGCTCCTAATTGACCTAAAACAACCCAACCTCTTGCCCCATAACCAGATCACCCGATTGACGAAACGTGCATTGCAAGTCACGTGTCCTTTGGATCCTCAGTGTGTTTAATGGCAGCCACTCTGGATCCAACCAAAGGTGACCACTGCAGGGATGCCACTGGTAGCAGCACCGCAGGGCATGGCCATCAACCACCATGGCCAGGCTGAGAAGAAGCGACAGGAAACGAACAGGTGCACCAGAACAGACAGGCTGTTAGGATTTCAAACGATGCAGCTATCAGCGGTTGCGTGGAAACCCCGTGTTTGCTGCTGCTGAGGATTTACTGGAGGCAGAGGGTTTCTCTGGCATTGTTCGGTAGATGCTTATTTCATTGGTCACATTTAGGAACAGGAAAGCACTGGAAATCTTCCGCTTAGATTTGTGGTCCAGAAGCTTTTGGGGAACCAGGAATTAAAGGAGCCTCAAAACTGTCACATAAATATAAAAAAATCTGTATGAGGTTCTGCCTGTCAACTGTGCAGGCTTACCAAACAGCATCCAGAATTTGAGCTTCTGAGTTTTTTTCTGGGGTAGGAGAATGCACACAGTTCAAGAATGATCCCCCCACCACTTCACAACACCGCCTTCTCCATATCAGTTGAAGGCTGGGGGTGGGGGAATGTGTGTTGCTGGCTGTATTATGCAGCTGAGATTCTCATTTCGATGAATAATGAATGGAAACTGTAAATAGATCCCGAATTGAGTAACAAGACTCCCTTATTCCTCCTTGACATTCAGACTGCATCCTAGTGTCTCACAGTGACCTTTCCCTGGAGGGGGCTGACCCACAGAAAGAGCTAGGAACATAATACAAGCTATGGGGGAAAGGAGGACCAATTGCAGGGCAGGGTAGCATCCAGTCACTGACTTGTCTGGCTCAAGAGAGCCCACCTGGAACTTTGAGGCATCTCCATTGCCTTTCCTTACTAGGACTTTGCAGCCATCTTACCTGTCCACACAGGGAATGGAAACACATGCCTTCCAATCACATTCAGCCCGAGAGTGACAGAAATAGCCTTTCCAGAGCTCCTGGCTGTTCCTTTTAACCACACACTATGTTCTCCTTAGTTTTCTGATGCTTTAGGGGGGACCAACTCATCCATGTTGGCTAAGGTGGGGGCTTGGCCTAAAAACCTTCATGGGACTGTTATTATTGGAGCTCAGTAAGCTCTCATCAGGCACAGATGGAGACAGGGCATTGGTGCAACCCCAAGCCCACCACTGGATTAGCCAGGATTGGTTTAAGAAATAGCCAGGGACACATGATTGTTATCTAATCTATTTATATCCCCACATAACTTATAAACAGGCAATGTGGAAACCATTTCCCCAGTTTTAAAAAATAAAGTGTAATTACTAAAAACCAGGAAAGATAAAATATAGCACTCATCCTTTGAAATAGGCTTTTAAAAATCGGTGTTTGCACTGGAAGGGCAGAGCTAACCCAATAGACTTTCCTTGGGGTGGGAGTTCCAAACAAACAGTGTGGCTACTGAAAAGGCCCCACACCTTCTCCTTGTCAGCCTGATCTCACATGAGGAGAGAGGCTGGAACAGGGCCTCCTCTGAAAATGTCAGCACATCAGAAGCCTCATGTCGGAGAAGCTGTTGCATTAGGCAAGACCACAGGTCCATTTGGAGCGTGAATGCATGAGACCAGCACTCTGAACTATGTCCAAGAATTAATTTGGATACACTGCAATTGCTTCGCACAGGCCCCCCACTCCAAAGTCCCACAAGGAGCCCCGGGCAGAACATGCTATAGCAATTTATACTACAAGTTACCTAGAAACACATCACATTGTCCAGGTTGTCATTATCTAGGAATGGTTGATGCTAGTGAGATTTACTTCTGGTCACTCATGAGCCTTATCTGAGAATCCAGGACCAGAAACAACATGAAAGCCTTGAAATTGAATGGGACCTTATGAAGTTCAGGAGAATGGGCAATTTCCAGCTCAGTTGGACGAAACACCTCTGACATCTGGACTGGGCTTCAGTTTGTGGAATAGAGGGACTATTCCAGTCCATCATGGATCCAGGCATCTATTTAGGGTTTCTACCACCTGACCTGGTTCCACTGGGAGAGAGAATCAGAACTGAGCATTAGCAATATATTGACAACACTTCACTTACAACCCTAGAATAACCCTTTTTGGCAGTTTCATGTAGATATTATATCATCAATGCTTCTAGCGCTTCCTACAGCCTTAGAAGTCTTTCTGTCAGATTTATAGAGTGGTGAATAGCTTCCACTTCCAGCCCTGCTGTTCTTATTCAAGAGCCATAGTTCTTCTGATGCAAGCATTTCGTACATGCTTTCAATCTAAGCTGGGAAAGAAAATTTGGAAACAGCTCGTGTATCCTCCTTGAGAGTGGGGAGGAATCACTGGTGCTGCAAGTCTGGCATGGTAAAAATGCACGGAAAAGGAAAGTGGGAAGCACTTCCTGTGCCTCCAACCCTGCCTTGAAAATCTCTGTGCCTGTGGCTCCCATTCACTTCTTCGGGACAGACTGCAATCAGTGCCTAGATAATTGCAGGGTGGAAACGACACGCTCTCTGCCCCAGTTGCTGTGGCTGTGCGAGAAACAGGTGTAAGGAAGAAGCTGAGCTGCAGGGCAGGAGAACACGAGACGAGCAGCTGTTGCCGCATGGGACGCCACAAGCCCGTTTATCCCTGAACTGTGCCAGGGAAGGCATGTTTGTTCCCACCCAAAGCTAGAGTGTGGGGCTGGTGCTCCACTGGTCCTTTCCTTTCATTCTACCTGCATCCCAAACCCTGCCACTGTTTTCCTCTGCCCATCCTCTGTATTGACTTTACATTCAAATGTGAGTTAATCATTAATAGGCTCGAAGAGGAGGAAAGGCAGCTGTATCACACCAGCTAGTCAAAGGTCCCTGGATGCCCACTTGTAGCACATAGTGTGGAATGTTCTAACAACCCACACTCCCAGTGAGATGATATGTTATGACAGGCAGCAGCTCTCCAAGCAAAACAAAACTACCCTGCACATTTATTGCACTCTCTGTCTCTTCACAATCAAACACTATGCATGCAATCTTAGTTACACTCACAGAAACAACCACTATCTTATAAAGCATCTTCTGGAAAAAATACAACTAACTGAACTTCTTTAGCAGGCTAAGGGTATAGGCCATCCTCCAGAGTAAATAGCAGGGTATCTAACATTTCTCATTTGTCCATTAACCCTCAAAGGTGAGCAAAACCAGAGTACCAAGAGAAGGCCATTTTGTTAAAGGTACCTAGCAGTGGCTTATGCAGATCACTCGTCCTAAGCCAAGCCATGCTTAATTCCATCATACTGGTGCCTGGTTACTTTATAAATTAGTAGCTCTAAGAAATTTCGTATAAAGGAAATGTACTAGAGGAGATCAACCCTGACTGCTCTTCAGAAGGCCAGATACTGAAGATGAAACTCAAATACTTTGGCCACCTAATGAGAAGGAAGGACTCCCTGGAGAAGAGCCTAATACTGGGAACAATAGATGACAACAGGAGATGGAGTCACTGAAGCAGATGTGTGAGCTTGAGTGGACTCCGGGGGATGGTGGAAGACAGGAAGGCCTGGAGGAATGTTGTCCATGGGTCGGACGTGACTTCCCGACTAACAACAACAACAACAACAACAACAAATTAGTAGGAAACTAATTAGAGGATGTGCACAGAGGCTGATTGCACTGCAGATTGGCTCAGGCGAAGTCCCATGCCAGCAATAGTGGCTGCTAGCCTGGAACACAACGAGCAATCACAGGGGAGAAAATATCCCTGAGAGCAGGTAAGCAGGCATTCTCCTTCCCCTTCTGTGCACAGATGCAAATATGCACGCACCACAACCCCATTTGTTCAGTAGGCACAATCCCACTATCACCCCCCCCCGCTGCAGCCAGTTCTTGCCCCATATGCCCCCTGCCCATCTTCTCCTATTCCATTTGCCTTGTTCTTCCCTCTGGGGCGAGCTGCACAGTAATAAAAAACATGGCTTTACTTCACCTTTCCTTTGGCTTAAGTGTCTTCTGGCAAACCTTCTTCCGCCCTGTCCTTGCTGAAGCAGAGTGTGCCAGGTAAACTCTGGGATGCTTCTCCGACATGGAA